ACAGGTACCTTTGGTTTTCTCAAGAACATTAGATGAAACGGGGAGTGTCCGGTGGACTCGTGTCTGCTGCAGTTGTATGCGTGTGTGAGTGCACCCACATGGATTGCCCAATTGGCCTTCTGACTTGGTTCCAGAGTTCCCAATATCGACAGCAGAGTTCGATTGAACCTGTCGGTCATGCCATTTCCCTGAGGGTGGTAAGGTGTAGTCCTTGTCTTCTTCACCCTGAGCAAGCTCCACAACTCTTGGATAACACAGGATTCGAAACACCTCCCTTGGTCTGAATGTAATCTCTCTGGGATACCATAATGAACCATAAACTTCTCCCAAAGGACATGTGCTACCGTCACTGCCCTCTCATCTTTCGTGGGATAAGCCTGTGCGTAGCGACTGAAGTGATCTGTGAACACCAAGATGTGCTCACATCCTCCTTTTGACCTCTCCAGGGACAGGAAGTCAATACAGACAAGTTCAAGTGGGCGAGTTATCCGGATGCTTTCCAGGGTGGCCTGTTTCCTTGTATCCGGCGTCTTCCTCAGGGTACACCTCTTACACTTCTGGATGTAAGCCTTGACTTCTATGTGCATGCCGGGCCAGAAATAACGGTCTTTGGCATGTTGGAAAACCTTCTCAAAGCCAAGGTGTCCCATCGAATCATGGAGGTGCTTGAGAACTTGTTTCCTCATCAGCCAGGGCAGGACTAACACAAAGTGCCGTTTATCACCCTTGGTGCCCTTCTTCTGATAGACAAGTAAGCACGCAATAGCCTCCTGACTACACCAGACTCCTTTGCTGCACGCCTTCCACTCAAACTGGTCCGCTGGGTTAGTCTCAACGCTACCACACGGCGAATAGCTGGGTCATCTTGTTGCATTTCTACCAGGCTAGTACCCCTTGTCTGCATAAGACTTGTTCCGATGTGCTGAGCATCTCCGTTACTCCCATCAACAATCCCCTCTCCTGACGAAGTATTGCTGTCATTACTGGTAGCAACCAGGGGCTGATGATCAGAGCTGGATGTCCAAGTTGTGTCGCATCCGTCGTTTTTGACAATCTGATGAATCTCTATCACACCATCGATGCCAGACTCATCTCGCGGAGCTTGCTGTGAAACAGGATAGGCGGAACCCGTCACTTTGGTATCTCCAGTGAGATTGGCACTCATTACAGAGTCACCTGAAGCTTCTCTAGGGACCGACATTCTCTGATTCGTCCCATCAAGGATCTGGTTAACCTCTCTCGACAGACCATCAGCATTGGCGTTAGCTCTCCCCGACCCATACACAATGTCCAGGTCGAACACGGAGAGGTTGCTGACCCACCGCTGGCTATGAACATCAAGCTTGGCCTTTTTCATGACGTAGATCAACGGATTGTTATCCATAATAGCCGTTACCTTCTGCCCATACAAATACTCTCGGAATTTCACCGTCACTGCCCAATGAAGTGCCCGAAATTCCAGTTTGTGGGCTGGATATTTCGACTCTGCCGCAGTTAGGGTCCAACTAGCGCAGGCAATCACCCTTTCTTTGCCATCTTCTTTCTGCACCAACACGGCTCCGAGGCCATCACTTGAAGCATTGGTCTGAACAGAGAACGGCTGTTGGTAGTCGGCGAAAGCAAGGATGGGTGCCGTCGTCACCTTCTCAATGAGTGTTTTGAATGCAGCCTGGCAATCTGCACTCCATACGAATGGCCCATCTCTAACACCTCTCTTTCCACCTATCAACCCAAACAACTCCTGATAAATCTCCTATAGTATCCAGTGAAGCCCAAGAAAGACTGGACATCCTTCTTGTTCGTAGGGGATGACCATTGCTTGACTGCCTCAAGCTTTGCTGGATCGGTCAAAATTCCCTTCTCGGATATTACGTGCCCAAGGTAACCGACCTCCGTCTGGAACAAATGGCACTTAGAGGGCTTGAGCTTTAAACCATGTTCCCTGAGCCTCGCGAACACCCTTTCCAAGTGTTCCTCAACGGTGGTGCTGAAGACCACAATGTCATGCAAGTAAATCAGGACTTGAGAGTAGTTGAGGTCGCCAAAGACCATGGTCATCAACCGTTGGAAGTTCGCCGGTGCATTAGTCAAACCGAACGGCATGCGTGTGTATTCGAGAGCCCCATCGGAGTGGTGGAAGCTATCTTCTGGCGGTCTTGCTCTGCCATCTGCACCTGTAGGTAGCCTGAGGTGAAGTCTAGGCAGAAGAAGTACTTAGCGTTACCCAGTTCATCAAGGGATTCATCTATTCAGGGAAGGGGATGAGCATCACAGTTCTTGCATTCAGCTGTCGGTAATCAACACAGAGACGTATGCGACCATCCTTTTTTTGCACTATAACTATCGGTGAGGCAAATGGGCTCTGACTTGTCTTATAATGCCATTGGTCTTCAACTCTTTGATGTGTTCCCGCACCTCTTGGAATTGGGAGGGTGGAATTTGTCGATAAGGCAACCGAAAAGGGCTTGAATCAACAAGGGGTATCTCGTGCAGTACTGTCGAGGTGCAGTTCCTCCACAGCTTTCCCTTCAGCTGAGGACAAAGCTGCCCCAGATAAGTCTTCATCCGGTATTTCCTGTCCATAGTGAACTTTATGTTCTAAGGTCACCACTCCTCCTTGGCCTGAAGGTGCCTCGCAGACAGCTGTGATACATGACAGTGCGGCAACTTTCATATTACGCCAGATGGTCACCACTTCACTCGAGATGTTCGGGAGCTTGACAGGCGCCTTACCACCAGTCACTTCCACCAACAGTCAACCAACTGCTAGTGGTCCATCCTTTCCATCCACCAAGGAAGTAAACTTCCTTTCTCTTGTAACACGTGGGGCTAACCACTCGACCACCGTGCTTGCCGTGGTCGGCTGGCCAGTCCGAGTCAAGTGCTTGTGAATTTTTTTCGGAAGCTCTCGGACAAGCACAAGGTAAGGGCAAAACCCATTATAATTAATATCTCCCCAACGCGAAATACATCTTGAAATAGTTCACAGTACCCGCTGCTACACCTGACTCGGACCGGCCAGCCGACCACGGCAAGCACGGTGGTCGAGTGGTTAAGACGTCTGCACTGGTAAGCAGGAGGTCATGAGTTCGAGTCCCACCCGAGTAAGCTTGTGAATTTTTTTTCGGAAGCTCGCGGACAAGCACTGAGCATACAGTGTTTATTGATACATACGTTGGGTAAGGGCAAAACCCGTTATAAATTAACATCTCCCCAACGCAAAATACATCTTGAAATGTCACAAGTCCAAAGGGTAAAGTCTTTGTAGTAGGAAAAATATAGACTTGCAAAAACAAACCGACAAAATGTAAAGAAAAAACAATTGCGTCCAATATTTTTAATCAGTCTTCATATTGTGACAGGTCACTTTTTATGTTATTTGCCTAGCGCCCTCAGTTGGCTGTGCCAAGTCAGCTGTTTTGTGAGTTCATTTTGAGACCCCCTCTAGGACCTTGTGAGTTCATTTAGTGACCCCCTCTAGGCACCTGTGTAGCACACTGTCCTTTGTTTCATTGCACACTGAGTCTTCAGCCAGTAAACACTAAGAGTTCACCCTGCTAAAAAACTTCATCTAGCATCAAGTTCTTCAGAAGTTTGAGATAGCCAAGGCTGGGGTAAGTTTATTATATTGTACATGTATAAAGATTTGTAATTGAAGGAAGAGCTATTTAAGGAGTGTACTTTTCCTCAGTAGGTTGACTTTATAAATGTATC